ACAAGCTGATCAAAAGAGAGGTTAATTAAGACCACACCTCCCCAGCTTCTATCTTGATCACGTGCGATTGCATAGGTCCAAGCGCTGCTGGTTTTGATCCTGCAAGTTGAGATTTGGCAGAAAGAACATACCAAGACTGTTAAACTCCAAACTACAAATTATTAAACTCTAATAAATTCCAAATTCAGATTCGGGAATGAGACGTTTTCTGCTGAACGTCATATCAAAGTATGCTAACAGGACAAAATAAATCTTTTCCAAATTGCTAGCTATGAAGAATACACAGTAAAATAAAATGCATCTCCTTATACTAGTATGAATGATCATAAAGCAGGCAATTATTCAACATTTTGCACAAGAAAATTCAACTCGATGCAGGGGAAAAAAGATTTTGCAGAAGAAAATTAGTTAAACTTAACAAGAACCCAGAAAATCGAGCAGAAATATTCATATGGTATAAAGAATTGAAGCCCTAATTATAAAGTAAAGCAATGCTAGCTAGTATAAAAGTTCACTTCAGATATATATTTACCCGAACCAACACTTTTCTGCTTGCTTTTAGAACCAGGCGGTCTTCCCCTACCCCTTTTCACAGGCACAGCAGAAACCGCCGCTTCATCTGCCGGAGACGAAAGTCCACCGCCGCCGACCTTAGACGGTGAAGGAGTAGTCATCCCAGGGCTCGCTACATCTGCCGTAGGAGACGAAAGTCCACTGCCGGTGACCTGAGACGTTGAAGGAGCAGTCATCCCAGGGCTCGCGGAACTCTCCGTAGCATGCTTCCTCGGCCTTCCGCGTTTCCGCCTTTCAGTTGGATTGACGGGAAGGACACCGGTAGTGCCGAGGGGAGCTGGAAATGACGGCACCGGAGGAGTCGAGGAGGAGATTGGTTGCCCCGGCGTACCATCGTCGGCGGCGGAGGGGGAGGGTGATCCCACGTTTTCCATTGATGCTTTGAACTGATTCTTCAACTGATTATTTTCGCTCTATTTTCTCTACTCCACCAGTAGTACTGTGCTCTATTTATAGTTTTGAAAAACAAAAACCGTTTTATTCAGAATCAAACAGATTGGAAATAAATTACATTTAAATCACATTTTTGATAAAACCAAAATTGGTCATAAAGAATAAAAAATCATTTTTATTTACTCCTACCGATTTCTGTGCTATTTTGTTTTAAAAAAATAATTTAATGACTTTCGTTATACTTAACTAATTTTAATGTAATAGCAGTGAATAACTGGTTAATTAGTTAGTTAAAGTTAGTCACAGAATTAGTTAGAGTTGGTTACAAGTCGGTTAAGTTGTTACATAATTAAAATATACATTATTTTGTAAAGATTTATTCATTCAGAGCGCAATGCACATAAATTCTTCTCTTTAGAAACTGTTGCTTTCCTTCTTGTTGCTTATGCTCCTAGTTTCATCACCATATAAGAGATTTTAAAAAAAATATTTTAATATATTCATTTGTATAAATGACCAAGAAATCTTAATTCCTTTGATCATCTATCTAAATTTAATCAATAACAATGTAGAAATATAGTAGTATTCAAAAACAAAGGTGGACAATATTTTTAGAGCAAAAGGTGAAAGGAGCGTATTTTTAAGTCATTTCCAATGCATGATGTATCTTTAGAGTTGTTTGAATTAAAAAATTTAACATATGCTAAACAAGCTATAATTCATCATCATCATCATCATCAGGATCAATAATCGATCTCTTGATTGATGTTTGAAAAGGGCAATCTTTAAAAGAACAAACGTTGTTGATGGTGCGGGGAAGTGGAACAAGACTCTCCTTGTAATCGAAGATTGACGAGTAGTACAGCTCATTGTTAATAACGACGGGAAGATCTTTAATTTGATCGGTGTGGCAATCGTAGAGACCCATTTTTACTGATGATCCGTCCATTCTAATGACGACCACTTCACCATTAAAACAAAAACCCATGGGCTGCAGGTCATAAAGTGTTTCAAATGTGTATTGCTTAGCCCAAGATTCTGAAGCACCTCCATAGTCATTCAGAGCCCAAAGTGTGTATGAGAAATCATAACCTGGAGTGTCACTATATAATGAACCAAAAATAGCTAGTCTATTTCCATTCAGTAGTGAAAGCTTCCGGTGGTACGATTTACAAGATTCGGCGTCCCCAATATTAAATGGTGTAGATATCTCTCGAAATTTGTCCTCAATCATATCAAAGGCAATCACAATACTCGGTCCTCCTCCTTCGATTTTATGCCCTAACCAATGAATAGCATCATTTGCATTCAGACAACGACCAAATTGGGTGATCTTATACGGAAAATCAATGTCCATTTCCTTTGCTGGGAGGAATATCATACTATCATTCCACCTTGTGATTCTAATATACACGCTATTGTTAAAGTAGAGAATGACCCTAACCAACTTGTACTCGTTGGTGATGGGAAGGAAGGTGAAACCTGTAGCTAGATCAATCACCACACGATTAGACCGCATTGTAATATGATTTCTGGGATGTGGTTCTCTATTAGTAACTATGCCATGGAAAGTCCTGAAGTTCCTTGTAGCAATGTTCCACACCACCACTGATTGAGGGCACAATCCAGACGAAAAGCATACCATGCCTCTACAAGAGTCTGCCACGTAAATTTTATGTCTTTCATAAAGAGTAGGAGGAGGTAAAGATAAAGGGGTAATGGTTCCATCTTCAGACACTGAGACGCTGTTATATGTTGTTCTCCTACTGACATTCTTGTTGTTGTAGAAACATATCAAGCTGCTGCTGCTGCGCTTGGCTCCATCGTGATGAATGTTGATGAAGCGGCGGGAGAGGATTAAGTCATGCCAGGACCAACACACACTTTTAAAACGCAAAAGTGACTTCACCGGTAGTGTTAACAGAAAAGCCATTACAAAGTCTCCAGGAAGAAGAACAATGTTGTTCATGGCTTCAAATATAGCTTCAAAACTATCATTCTCTTCTCTATCTCCTGCAATTCCCCCACTAGGTAAGTATGTACCTAAAAAGAATCTTTCATTAGCCAAAACAATTGATTGGACATATATATATAATCAAGTAAACACATATATGTAAAACATCAGTACCAATCAACTTAAAATGTTAGAAATACACAAATTAAATCAAATTGAAAGTTTAACATCATCATCTTAATAACGAAACAATAAATCTCTTCGAGAAAACATGGAATAATATTGTCCAGTATGGAAAAGCAGCAGAAAGTTTGGGCGTTACAATTGGCAGAGTCCGTCTTTGGCCTAAAATATAATGAAAGGGGAAACTATATGATAATACTTAGTAGAAACTGAGTCTTTATTTATTTATTATAACAAAATTCAGTTGGTCTTTGAACAACTTTATATACTTCCGCTAATTTATTGGATATTAGAACAAATTCTATAACCTGATTAGCGTTATCAAACAAGGTTAGGCCACCCGTCGTCGTTAAGGATTTTCAAGATTTAATATATACATAAACGGCGGGATATTCTTATTTGCGTAAAGCCCAATTAAAAGACAATGATTTCCTGTTAGGAATTTGAGACATCTAAGGGTGAATGGATCATCCATCCGAACACACATAATTATGCCCAACAAAAATTACTTACCTGAGTTGAAAACTGGGCAGCATATTCCAGCACCTTCTTTCATCCTCTCTGTATATACTTCAAAGATTGCAAGTAGGTAGGAACCCTAATAAAGGGATCTCTATTTACCTATTATTATTAATAATAATTTTTAATAACAATAAACAAATCTCATTCTTGGGTAGAAAATACAATAATGTTTTACCTAAGTCTTTTTATTCTTTTATTACTGTATATTCTAAATAGTATATTAAGCAAAATCTATTGTTGTCTGCTTATACAAAAAAAAAAAAAAATGGGGTCTTATTCCAATTTCAAGCACTGCAATTTGCCAATCTTATCATTATATAAAGTTTTATTTCGATATTATTACACAAACTTCTCAAATTCTTTAGTCAGATTTTATTATTGTAACTTATATTATATTTTTATTATTAAAAATTTGTATTATTATTTATTTACCTTCTTATTTTATGAGGTCTGCGTACATCCTATCTTTTTTAAAACTCACTTTTGAATTACACATAATATTATTATTATTCAATCCCCTCACCAATCTTGTTGAGACGACTCAATTCTAATAACTAGTTATATTGTAATATTCTAATACTGGTTATATTGCAGTATTATTTTTTGTTGCGTCTATTAATGAAAAAATTTAAGGTAAAAAAAATAGAATAAAAAAGAATGATGAATATTGACTTGAATCGCACAATAAGGACTGAACGACTGCCTTACGCACAGATGTACATTTATTATACAAGGAGTAAAGTAATATTTAGTTTATATGGGTTGAAGAAAGATAAATGTTAAAATTAAGAAAAAGATACTACTAGTTTTAACTTGAGAAAAGGTGTCATAATTAACATTTTTATAGTTTAGCACAATCAAATTCAACTCTGAAGTTGGCTATTTTGAAAAGTTTTAAATTACTACTTTGTTTAAGCTAACAGCAATTAGTATTTCCAGTGCATTGCCTTTTGTTGTCTATGGGGAATGTAATACCTTAACACTTTGATTCATTCAAGTAAAAAAAATGCTCAGTGTATTCACATATTTGGTAATTCTGGCATGCATTGCTTCTTAAATGTAAAATTAATTAGCATCTCGAATGATGATGATGCCTCTGGTTGAAGATCAAATTCTACAGAGTAGTAATCTCTCTCTCTGCTAAACACTCTGCTGGTTGGAAATGTGTCAATAATTCAAGCTAAGCTAGCTCATAAAGGTGTAAAGCTGATAATGTGATACTACTAATCTTGAATCTTTAAATACAAGGGAGTAGACCCTACTACATACTTCACAATAATCTCTTGTCCGTTAGTTTCTTTACACCTTGTAGGGTCGTCTGAATGAACATGTCCTATTTTTACTTTGATTGCTGATCTCACAAGTATATATACTTTGGCAAAAACTTCCAATTACCGATGCTTGACACATTTACTTTTTATCCACAAATATTTCAATTACTAACTTGATCAAACGCTTACATTTTAAGATCGAAGGTAAACAATTACAGATGAACAAAAGCAAAGATCAATATAAAGTTTGGGAAAATGACTGAACCAGAGAGAACAGTTCAAACAAGGTCACAGGGTAATTTCAGCACTGTCACTTGGACGATTTACTACTACTTCCACCGTGAGCAGGCGGTGGATTGACAATCTTATTGAGTCTTTCTACCACTTCTTCCGCCGTGGGCCGCTTTACGCCCCCTTCGTCTAAACATTGAAATGCCAAATCTGTTACTTTTCTTGCAACGATCACCTTACATCCACCCGTCTTCAAGAAATCCAAATGGACAGCATGAGAATTCTGTTTCTTGAGTTTCAGTGCCTGCTCTAAAAGTTCGGATGAATAGTTACACGAATGAGAATCAAAATCCAGGTGCATGATTCTCCTCTCCTTTGGCACAGTGACTTTAAAGTCAGCTTCCTTCTCCTTCATCAACACTTGGAGCATCAAAAAACACAGACAGTAATAGTCATAGTGAAAGACATGGTCCTAATGTCCTGAGAAAACGAACAGCCTATTAAATAATTGAATTGTATAGAATGAAACTGAATTCTGAAATTTTTTTGCTAAACAATGAAAATCTTATTCTCAATACCTGAAAAGATGAAGTTTTCATTATCGAATTTACGAGATCCACTTAAAGCATCTCCATACATCTTCATTCGCCCAAAATCTGTCAATACAGGGTTCCAGTTTTGATCCAACAATATGTCAGCGGGCTTCAAGCCCCTGCATACGACCATAAGCATATGCAAAACCCTGAGTGCCTCAGCAACTTTCGTGATAACATTTAATGCTCTCTCCCAATCTAAAACTGTAAAGTGGGACAGGATTAGGCGATATGAAAGAAGAGAACAAACCAAACTTATTGTTGGAGAAGAAGCATCTGTATTGTATTAACAAGGAAAATTATCTGTGTACAATAGTCCATCTACTGACAACTTTTGATCAATTAGGTGGAAATGGAAAACTCCTAATATAATCAAGAGTGTGATCTAATTACTAAACGTAGTTGGGATATGATACGGAAAAAAAGATGAAAGTGAGTAAGCCATGAACCAATCTAGCACACAACCCCATGAAGGAAGGAATTTTATAGTAATCAACCCCACATGTGGCTTTAAATATCAAGTTCTCAAAAAAAAAAACAATTGATTTGCAGTTTTATAAACTCAGTTTACACAGTAATATTAAAACTTAAAAGAATTTACCTTCAATGCTTTTCTGGAGATCTCCCCTCTCATAGAAGGGATAAACCAGGTATAAACCTAGATTGGTACGGCAAACACCGACCAATTTGATGACACCCCCATGTTTTATCTCAGACAGTAGCATAATCTCAGTCTAAAAAAAAGATAAGACTAATTAGTTTATATAAAGAAAGAAGAACATAAACAAACACGGTAGAATTTAGGATTACCTTCCACTGAATGTAGTTCTCATCGGTAGAAAACTCTTTTTCCTCACAGAAATAGTTTCCCACCTTGACAGCAACTCTTTCCCCATTCAAATCACTGGAAAGTCCAGACAATCCCCCAATGAACCCTTCATACACCGTTCCCCAGCTGGTCCTACCACCCTTTTGTCAGGAATGAATGAATTGATCTGTTCAATTGTGAACTTCACCAGCTTCCTCGTAACCACTAACGTGCTGATTTCACGCTCTACTTTAAGATCCTTTTCCTACAGAAAATTATAACACAAGAGTATTTGTAATAAATTATTTGACAAATTTTGTTCTGAATGTATCTTGATGACTGTCTTACTTTGCACAATCAGTTTCCTTCTTTGCTATTGATAATGATCCTTAACATGTAGGACCACTTTTATTATTATTATTATAGATTATTTTAATCACACGACAAAAAAAATGCAAGGTACATAGTTATAATATTGTTATCTAAACAGTGATTGATAATATATATGTGTTGAATGTTATCATCTAGCCATTTGAGAGCAGTTTGCAGAAAGAAGGAAGAAGAAAGGGGAATATAACAGTGAATTGATTTAACCGACTTAGTTCATCATACACAATGAGTCACTATTTATACACAATGTCTAACTAATCAGCAGTAATTAAACAACCTCTAACTGACTTAACAAACTCACTAACCAGCTAATTATTTACAATACTTTATTTTAACACTCCCCCTCAAGTTGGGTGATGGAATATGTCCAGCATTCCCAACTTGAACAACATATCATTATGTAGTTGTTTTTGAATCATAACAGGAAAATCCAAGTCATTCTAGAATAGTCATCAACAATAGTAAGGAAAAATCTATGACCATTATAAGTGCATTGCTTATAGGGTCCCCAAACATCCATGTGAAGTAGTTCAAAAGGGGATACAGTTTTCTGAGTACTAGAGGGAAAAGGGAGTCTAGTTTGTCTTGCAAGAGGACATATAGGACAAGAAGAAAAAACTGAGCTATGCATATGAGGCTTCAGAGATGCAATCTTCTGCAGTACAGTATTAGGAGCATGACCAAGTCTTTGATGCCAGATGGAAGCTACATCTGGTAAAGAAGATGAGGCATGTAATGCAGAAGAATGTTGGAGTACAGTGGCAGGTGATGGTTTCTTGGTAGATGGAAGTATGTAGAGACCTCCTGCTTCCTTACCAATCCCTCTCACCTTGCCATTGCAGAGGTCCTGAAAAAGACAGAAATCAGGATAGAAACAGACACAACAATTCAATTCCTTTGTGAGTTTGGAAATGGATAATAGATTGTAAGTAAAATGAGGAAGATAAAGGACATTTTTCACTTCAGTATTGGCAAAAAGTGAAGCAGATCCAGTGTGAGTGACTAGGGTGGTTTGACCATTTGGCAAATGTACTTGGTTAGAGTTTGAAGAAACAAGAGTTGGATGAAGTAGTGTATCCAAACTAGAGACCATATGATGAGTAGCTCCAGTGTCCATAATCCAAGGAGTTGCATCATCACCTGTAGGAAAACAAGCATTGAATGTACTGAATGTTGAGGAAAGGTTATGATGTATACCTGCCATGTTGGCAACAGGCTCCTGTGATGAAGATTCTTTATCAATTAATTTCATCAAATGATTGTATTGATCAGCAGTAAAACATGGTGCAGGTTGAAAATGTGGAATGTCAGGAGCAGGGTTTCTTCCCATGTCAAGGCCTTCAACACAATTCACATTATTGACCTGAGCTCTTCTATTACCCTCAGAATTCTGCACTCTATTATTAGCATAGTTCTGTCCCCTGTAGCCCCTATCATCAACACCTTTCTTCCTTTGGAACTTGTAATTTTGTGGATAGCCAATCAACCTATAACAATTAGCTCTTGTATGGTTTCTTAGATGACAATGATCACAGTATAATCCTCCTGTGTTTGGTTGGAATTTGTTGCTTTGTACTGAAGCTAAAACAGTAGGATCATGAACATCCAATTTTTTCAAAAGCAACACACAGTTAGATATCAAGCTAGACTGCATTTTTTGGCTCTCATCTTGCATCATCATATTGTAAGCTTGATTCAAGCTTGGACTAGGAATAGTCATAAGAATCTGGCTTCTCGACTGAGCGAAGCTATCACTAAGTCCCATTAAAAACTGCATAAGTTTTTGTCTCTCCATATGTTCTGCATAAACTCTATATTTGTCACATTCACATGCCGGTAAAGGAACTAGTGACACATATTCGTCCCAAAGGTTTCTCAATCTAGAATAATATTCAGAAACAGTAAAGGTGCCTTGACTCATGGTGCTGATTTCACGATGCAGTTGATATATTCTAGTCAAATTGCTTTTATCAAATCTCTCCTTTAGATCCTTCCAGACACTATGTGCGTTAGATGAAAACATCAATCCATTTGCCAGTTCTTTCGAAACTGAATTGGTAATCCACGATAATACAAAGGCATTACACCTCTCCCACTCATGTTCTAGATCTCCTTTGTAATCAACCTTGCGACACTTTCCATCAATGAATCCAATTTTATTTTTTGCTAAAAGTGCTACTTTCATAGAATTACTCCAACCAATATAGTTTTCAATACCAGTAAGCTGTTGAGAGACTAAAATGCTACCTGGAGTATCAGACGGATGAAGGTACAGAGGATTTCTGGGATGAATGTCAGTAAACTTGTGAATTTGCTCTCGATTTGGAGTATTCTGCTCCTCCGATGACTCGACTGTATTCACCATTCTTCGTTCTTCTCCGGTGAGCTGTTTTGCAGAAAAAATCTAGGGTCGGCGTTCAACTGTTCTTCCAATTTTACAGTGGAATTTGTGCTCTCTGTATTAGCTAGATCTCCGTAATAGCCTGTAGCTCTGATACCATGTTGAATGTTATCATCTAGCTATTTGAGAGCAGTTTGCAGAAAGAAGGAAGAAGAAAGGGGAATATAACAGTGAATTGATTTAACCGACTTAGTTCATCATACACAATGAGTCACTATTTATACACAATGTCTAACTAATCAGCAGTAATTAAACAACCTCTAACTGACTTAACAAACTCACTAACCAGCTAATTATTTACAATACTTATTTTAACAATATGTTTCTCTTCTGTTTAAATCTAAAATTTTGGAATTCAAAGGGTCGATTGATAGTGTGTATAAAATTAAGACCACACCTCCCCAGCTTCTTTCTTGATGACGTGCGATTGCATAGGTCCAAATTCTGCTGGTTTTGATCCTGCAAGTTGTATATCAGAGATTTGGCAGAAAGAACTCTAATAAATTCCAAATTCAGATTTTCTGCTGAACGTCATATCAAAGTATGCTAACAGTTGGCAAAAGGCATAAATTGCCCCCTAAACGTATACCCAAAAGTCATTTACACACTTTAACTAATGGAGTGACCTATTACACACCTTAAGTACATAAAAGTATATTTATTTCCCCCTTCCGTCACCCAACCCAGGGCGCGTTTCGCTCCACATAGTTGAGCGCGTCAACACGCTAATAAAGTCATTTTTATTTATTTTTTTAATTAAAAAAATCTAACCCAACGGTTATATTTCCATTCCCTTCACATAACCCACCCACCCGACCCTAATGAACAAAACCCCTAAATTTTCACCCAAAAATCTGAATCAAGAACCCTAAATTCAAACATAGTTCAAAATTCCTTCTTTTGAATCAA